GGCCGCCAGAGAGGGGCTGGGGTGCGAGGTGATGCTGCGAGGGGGGTTTCTGGTTGGTGGGGCACAACTCCAGCAAGCGCTGGCGGCAGGAATTGCCGTGTTGCTCTTACAGCAGGGAGGTGCAAACTCTGCTGATTGAAAAGCTGAAATGAAATCAATTTAAACCTGGAACGGGAGCCCCATAGGTTAGGGGGAGAACACATTTCGGCAGGTAACATGCAGCTCGCCACCTCAGAAATGGTGGTCGTCTAAACCTAGTACACCCTGGAGCCTGGTGTTTGACCAAAAAAACAAAAATCAAACGGAAACCAGCTCTGACTTCTAGGGGTTTCCTTCGACACCACCTGCTCAGAAGCCCATTCACAAAACTAAAACAAAATTACATTCCCTTTTGTGGACAACTGGCCTCTTGTCACTACAGAGTGTTTTTGAGGAAGACAAGGGAAAATACCACAACAGTTTGGGAAACAAATACTCAGCAGCTATTGAAAAAATGCTACTCTGCCAAATACTCCAGTAGCAGCTGCGAGCCAGCTTTCCTCCTGTGGCGGTGAGTTGCTGCGAGTGGATACGTCAGCCTCCTTCACCTGTGTCCCAGTCACAGTGCATTATCCTGGCTGAGAAGAATCCAGCTGCTGGCAGGTCCAGCTGCAGACCTTACAACCTCAAAGCACGCTCAGTTCCCAGGAGCTCCGCCACCTGTCCCGGGGAGACCAGCACAGCACTGGTGCTGGATGGGAAGGCTCTCACCGTAGGTTCAGCCCTTGGCTGGCGCTCTCCTGGTGCGCTCGGCCCATGTGCTCACTGCCGAGCAGCTGCACCCGGCTGGTCAGTGCCACTTGGAGTGACCTCAGCTCCACTCTTCACACAACAGTAAAAAAAAAAAAAAAAAAATTGGCAACCACAGAGACCTCTAACCAGAGGACTTCCAAAATCAACACAGAAGATGTTCCAACGCTGAGTGTTTTCTTTTCCTTCCTTCTAGGAGTTGCTATAAGCTCCCGTACTTCATCAGTGCAGGCTGCAGCACGAGCTAGAATGACACTGCACCTTGGGCTCAGCAATGCTCTCTTGTTCAGTTCTTACAAAATCAGAATAATGCTGATCTGTTCTCCATACCTATGTTGGAATGACATGGCACATAACTGGCTTCCAAAGGGAGTCAGGCCCACCCCATAAATTCCTTTTGATCAGTGACAGAAACCCACAACAAGCCTTTCTGCCCCTCTGTTCCCTTTTCCCCTCCATTCTGAATCTCTGTCAAGTATCAAAGGGAGCTCCCTACCCTGTAAAGCCTCCACGTCACGGTGTTTGCACCAGAAATGTAATGGCCATCTTCCTGTCATATCCTGGTGGCAGGAGCAGCTGTTCTCTGCTGCTGGCTAGTCCTCTTGTCAGGTAAAATGTCCTCCCACAATGTCAGAGACTTTGGATTGAACCTTGTTGTTGAAGGCTAACTCCCTTTGTGAGACAACATTGTCGCTAGGAGGATGTCACCTCCCACCTTGCACGCTACAACTTTCCTGTAGGTTATGACATCCTCAGGGTTAGCAGAGAGAAATCTGACACTTTCATTTAGAAACAGATTATTTTAGGGTGGAAGGAACCACAGGAGGTCACCCACATGCACTCAAAGCAGGGCTAAGTTCTTCCTACCAAGCTGCTCCACATTGTAGAGGATGATTAGGGCTTCTCACAGCAGAGAAAGCAAGAAAGAAACTTGAGTCTGGTGGCTGGTGCCCTCACCTAGGCTCCTCTATTTTGGGGAGACTACAGGCACACATGGCAAGTATGCATTCTCCCTTCTTGTGCATACTTGTACAGTCATACTAGGTCAAAGGTCCATAAAGTACTCATGAAAGACTCAAGAAAAACAGGTTTTCTTCCTTTCCTGACTGAGAACCCAATCAGACTTGCCCATGTTTTCCCTTCCTCAGTTGCCAAGTCAATCTTTAATGTTTTCTTCCTACTATCTCATAGTTAGGACACTCTTCTGAAAGTCAGGAGTTTAAAACGCTTTTTGTTGAGGTGAAAACTAAACCAGGTTCCTCTGTCAATCCTGGGAACAATACATAGGCACCTAGGTGCTTAACATAAAGCCATGGTTTCTACTCCATGGGCAAAGGGCAGAAAATACAGGAGCTGAGATACCAAGTATTCCAGCAGTAGCATGGATCCAGGCCTTAATGTACAGTGAGCGAAGCTCTGCATGTATTTCATGCCCTCCCTCAAATGCAAACACCGCAGGGAGTGGTTTTAAATAGTTGTCATTTGCTTAACTCACACTTGGTTTCCCCCAAGGTCCCGCACTGCTCCCCCGACTGCATTGTTTCTGGTATCAATGAACAGTTTTCCAGTCTAAGTGAATTTTCCTGTGATCAGGTTGCCACTTGACTACTGGGCATTTGCAGTGCTTATACGTCTCTGCCAGCTGTTGCTTTTTGGGTGGGGAGACAACATTTTCAGCTGAGTTGGGCACTTCCAGCATTTGCTTGAGTGTGAAGACAATGTGATTTTTTCAGTTTTTCTAATGAAAAGAATTTGTGCATAAAATCAAATTTGTTTGCTTTCATTATCCCTGACTCATTCTCTGGTGAATCACATTGTGCTTTGTGATCGTACACTGTAAGGAACAGTTAAATCTAATGTGGTTTGAAAGTTTTTCCAACAGTGTTCCCATTGCCATTAAAATCACTCCCATTGGGAAATAACTGGCACCAATGTTAAGTTTCTGACCTAATATAACAGTAGATACTGAGTAATTAAGTTCACAAACAAAAAAAAAGAAAATCCTTCATACCAAAATAGTTTTACTGGTAAAAGCATTTTAAGCACAGAGGAACTGAGTAGCTTTCGCTGTTTGCATGAGGGACCATCACAGTGTGCTGATATAATAAAAAAGTTCCTGGAATTACTAAATCTGAGACTACAGGAAAAAAGTGCTCAGGAAACAGAATTTTCAATTTTGTGAAGACGTATTTTTTTTTAGCATACCAGGATGTTGTTTAACAACTCTGCAAATACACGTAGCAGCACAAAACTAAATCAGATCTGCACATCTTGGCCACAGGTTTGTTTTACTTTAAGGCTGTAATACCCGTGCCTGCCTTATATTACATGGCATTTCAAAATTTCCATAGAACTTGGCAAAGAGTAACAGTTGCATCCTGCTACAAAGAGTAGAGCTTATTACCATAATTTTAAATGAAAAATTGAAAGAAGTGCTCACTGGTTTTCTTTAGGGGCTCCAGTTTGTTTTAGTCCAAGAAATTTGTCATTTTCACAATTACACTGTTGCTCTGGAGGCTTGTATGGAAATGTCACTGCCTATTGGCATGATTTCACACGTTTATTTCCTTCTTTCTTGATTGAGAGATTATCCAGATCAGTGGAATTTGTGGGTGTAATTAAGAAGGACTGGGCCCATTGCAGTCTACAGGCTTTTGTCTTACAGTCTGTAAATCAATGTGAGTCTACTGCTGGGGTTGGAAAGATGAAGAGTGGGCTGGAAGCCAGGAGTTGGCAATTCATATTGCAGCTTTCAATCTTGGAAAATTGATTGGGTTGACAAACTGTCGCATATTTGAAGAGACACTAAGAACCTCCTCTGACAATAAGCCAGCTTGATCATGGAGCCAAGTATTTCGGGATCAGAATGTATCTCAATATGTCTCTGGGAGGATGCAGATGGGGCAGAGCTTCGGTAGCCCTCCAGGCCGTGCAGCTCATGCTGCCTAACTTCCCTGTGAGAACTGGAGAAATTCCTCTCAGGAGTGACTTGGAAATAAAAATGGACCTAAAATGGCCCCAAAGCCTTTGGCTGGAGCAAACTGGGGTAAGGAAATGACTGCTGTTGCCAATAACTGTAAAGGAAAATAATGTCTGATGCTTTTGGAAAGGTATTTAGTCACCTTTCTGATCAGACCAAAGCGATTTCTTCATTTTATTGTTCAAATAAAGCAGCTGTAGAATAGTGCCTGGACAGGGAATGCCCCTTCGCACCTAACACTTCTTAACATTTAACACAGTCAAGGACAAAGCTGCCTTGTTCTTCTGCAAGAAGGACCAATGCACACCAATGAGACTTAGGAAACAGGTGTGCCCTTACCTGAAAGTCTACCGCAGCCAGGGAGATGGTACCACCCTCTCATGAATGTCGTGTGACGGACTCCTAGATACATGTTATTTGTGCCCTTATGCTTCTTCATCTGGTTACACCAAAGCAGTAAAATTTTTTATTCAAAGATCTGTTTGAACTATTTGCATGCTTATGATACTGGTGCATGACTGAGATCATCCTTTTATTTTCTGTAGTATCTGAAATGCAGTCTCCAAAGGAAGAGTGTCCCTGCCCTAAGAAATGTACAGTCTGAGTGTATCACAGCAATATGGCCACTTTATGGCTATTACATTCTTAGCCTGTCTTTCCCCTCAATTTCAGAAGCAATCTGTTGCTTTGCCAGTTATGGGAATCTGACCAAAAGTAGAAATAGAGGGAAGAGCAGTGCAATAGGAAAATACACAGATGCAAGGCTGTTATGAATCCTCCTGGAAGCCTGGAATCCTTACTGTGAAGCTTTGTGATGAATCAGTGTCCCCAGTCAGAATTTGGCAGACAGGTCTAGGTGACAAGGATAAAGCACTGTAACTCTGTCGCTTGCTGAGACCGGTTTCACTAGCTGATTTCTCAAGTGAGAAGTTTGCCTTGAGGAAAGGGAGGTAGGGAGAAAAGGGGTGTCAGCATCTTTTTTAACCAAAAAGTCAGTGAAGCCCTCTGCTGACACAGACTTTGCCTAATGGTCAAATAAGAACAGAGGTGATTGCCCCTACCCTTTTTTCCTAAAAGAGCACAGGCTGGTTGATCATTAACCATCAAGCTGATCAAGCAACCCACCACGGCTGTTTTTCCCTGTACAATCCTTGTACTTGTAGTGGACTAACAGCAAGATGGTTGAGGATCCGAAGAGAAAGGCTCTCAGTGTTCTTCCTGTCCTCTTGCTGTTCAGCTCAGCACAAGCAGGTAAGAAAAACATGAGTGCCTGGCAAGGGACTGAAGTTTTTACATAGAAGGATCTGAATTCAATTCTCCCTAAAGAGCCTGTGTGTCAAGAGGTCCTTGCTATAATCTAGTTAGGTACCAGGAGAAAGGGTAGTGTAGGTATGGTCCTTTCTTCTCTCACGCTTTGATTCAATCAGTCTCAGTGATTTAATTCCATTAACCTGATTTAAAAGAATGATCTGGGTTTACCCAGAGAACGCTGAGAAGTGTAAGGAAGTGGAAAAGGGTTCACTTGACCTCTGGCACTGTCATCTCCTGCTTTGAAAGCTTAGCAAGTGTAATCTGCAGTAGCTGAGAGAAAATAAACAGAGGCCACGCTTCCATTTCTTTCTTTAATTGTACTGTCAATGCAACTGCTTTTGTGACCATCACTACAGTCCCACATCACCTGCAGCTTCACAGCGGTGCACCTCCTGCCTTACCTTTACTCATAATCCCCCTCATCTTACGCCATTTCTGGCATGCACTGAGCTTGCACTGAACCTGCCCTTGCTAGTTAAGTGGGCTCATGAGCTGCGTTTTTTCCAAACTGATCTTAGAGAACATCTCTTTCTCTCTTGCCTTCGGTACACAGGAAGACCAAAAAAAACAACAGTAAGGGACAGTCACACCCCACAAGGGGGAACCTGAATGTTGAATCTCACTTCTTTGTGCTGACCCTTAGGCCATGTTGTGCTGACCCAAGACCATAAAGTATCTTCTATGGTAACAGACAGCAGTTAGGAGGCTGGTTGTTTGATTTTTAAATTTTTTAATTTTTATTTTTTGTACATGCAGATTCAAGGCTGTTTCACTTCCTCCAGTCCAGAAAGAGAAGGTGCATGCATTGTCATTGCAGCAGGATGCAACTATGTCAGTTCATAACCTAACATTTTTTAGGTCAGAAGGGATCATTTAATCAATTATTTGGCTTCCTGCGCATCACAGGTTAATAATGTCACCTTCAGTCCTTCAGTAAATCCAACAATTTACCTTCAATAGCCTTCCAAAATAGCAGCCAGTCCTCTGAAATGACAAAAGATGGAGAATCCAGCTCTTCTGTGGGTAACCCAGCTACACATACTGCTAGCCATACATACTGCTAAACTTCTATGCTTGCTTTCTAGCCTAAATTTGCTCAGTTTTTTACTGGCTACAAGTTTGAGATTTCTTTTTTGCCATCTAGATCAAACTGCCTTCCAGTAGCTGCCTTTTCCTTCCCATAAAGCATTTTCATCCAGTAAATGAATCAATCAGGAAACTATCATTGACACATTTTGTCATCAGCATTCTCATATTCTGTCATCAGCATTCTCATATTTATTTCTGGATTTTGGATACAGTTGCCAATTAGACCTTCGACGAAGCCTACCAGAATTTGAATAGAAATATCCCCATTCAGTAGTGATTACGTGTTGGCAACCGTTTTTTTAAAGATGTAATAGCTAGCTCATAAATGTACTTAGTAGCTGGTGTGTGTGGCCAATTTGGGAAAAAACCCCAACAGAATGTCATTCGCGTCCCAGTAAAACAACTCTCAGAAGTCAAAGCTACCATGACATCTACGGTTATCTTCCCCAGCCAGTGCTGAAATTCCATCAAAGGACAGAAACAAATTTATCAGACAGATAAAGTTTACAGAATAGGCTGATTTTCATTTATGTTCTATCCTTTTAATATTTTTCAATGGAAGCAAGATCGCTACCTTAATTTTCCTAATGAATTAGAATGAGCTTTTTTTTTTCCCATTGCAGAGATGCAGACTAAATACGCTATTCACTCCCTCGCGTTGCAGGGACTATAGACAGATTCTCAGGGCATCACTGCACTGACTTCCAGACAGCAAATTTTCTGCGGGGCATTAGACTTAAGGTCCAGTTTCTTCTATTCACCTCCTTAAGTCCCAGCTGCGGCAAGCTGATTTTCGCTGATGGTGGCATCAAGAACTCCAGCTTCAACAGCAGCCTGGAAACAAAGATCATAATCCATGGCTTCAGGTGAGAGAAAGAAAAGCATGGTGACTAAGTTCTTACTGGTAAATTAAACACTGGGGCATTCCCAAGTACTGGGTGGGGCTGGCACAGAACCCCCCTGCTTTTGTGACCTTCTTGGTTTCCCCAGCAGAGGGGCTGCATGCAAAACACCTGCTAAGAACAGAGTCTGGAGCACTCAGCCCCAAACCAGACCTGGGAATTGTCTGGAAGACTGTTGGTGGGCCAGGGCCAGAGGCATGGAAAATGCCTATGACAACCCTCATTACAACACACACTGACATCCTTTAGTTTGTGACCAGCTGCCTATTTTGTTTGGAGCCCAAAAGAAATTAGGAAATTATCATCTTTCTTTCCCTCACTCTCTCACTCTCTTGCTTGTTCTCTCACTCTCTCCTCCTTTACCTCTTTCCTTTTCTTTCCTTCTTTCAACCTTTTTATTTAAGAAGTCTTTTCTTCAAGATTCTTGTCCCTTTAAATTGTCTCCTTGGAACTCATGTCCTGATTTATCAACAGCCTGGATTAGTCAGCCATTTAGGAGCCTTATACTTCTATTCTTGAGGGATTTGAGCCAGTTTTTTTTTAAGCTGTCACCATTCTGCAAGCTTATTTTACTGGGCCATTTTTCAGCCAGGTGTGCCCATATAACATTATTTGTTTTGATGTGCAAAAGCCTGAATGCAAAGTTCATAGAAGACCAGGATGAAACCACAGAAGATGTTGTAGGGTCTTTCCAGAAAACCAGCTGTTGCCATCATATGACATAGCACACCCCCGACCAGGTGGTATTAGGGGAAGTGGGTAGAACACAGCCTTCTCAGTTTTCCTTGAATTATTGGATATAGAATTTATTTTTTTAATTGTCGACAGATGAGGAAATGTAGGAGTGAAAGACAAGGTGATTTGACCAAGGACTTCCTTACATTTGGTAGCAGAGCAGGATCCAGGTGTTGCTGGTCAGCTCACTTACTCTAGATGGGCTCTGTGGTGGCTGCACTGTAGCAAGACTGAGATCTCAGCCTGAGCCCTGCAAATGTTATCTCGTTTATTAGAATATCTGGTTCCCTTCTGAATCAGCCCATTCTGGAAAGTGTTATTACACCACTGCAAAGAGGTGTGGGTGGGTGTCTGGCACTTGAAAAAACTTTCAGCAACTGTCTGGCAGCCTCTTCTGAGATGTGTGAATCTCCAGCACCAGTGAACAACATATTGGCACATGCCCTGCTTTGGAAGAAACCTAACATACTTGTTTCTCATGACTGCACAGGGCTTTGGGTACCAAACCTTCCTGGATTGAAGGGCTTGTCCATGCCATACTGCACACAAGCCAGGTGAATGTAATCGCAGTAGACTGGGTTTATGGGTCTACAGCAGCCTATCCCGCCGCAGTGGAAAATGGCATACAGCTGGCCCTCTCCATATCACAATTCATCAGCAAGCTCCTGGTAAGCTACTTTGCATTTCCAGTGGTGGGGAGCATGGCCAGAGAATATCATTCATACAAACAACCCAGAGAACTGTTCCCAACCTGCTCTCTCCAGGAGCTGGACAAGCAGGCTCTTTATTCTAGAGTGAGTGCTGTGTAGCACTAAAGGGATTTCTTCTTTCCTTCTCTCTCAGTCCAGGCTTGAGTATGCCACTGTTTTTCTTTTGAGTTTTGACATTTTCTGGAAAAAAATCCCAGTTGTCAGCTGCCTCTCCAGCCCAGGACAAACCTGAAGGATGCCTTGGGTTTTCTCAGGTCCATGCTTCACTGGACAGTCATCTTCTTCTGCCTGGAAGTTTTGTCCAGGGAGCTGGAGGGGGTGGGATTTGAGGCTATTTTGTATTTGCTTTGGGCTTCAGATGTACCTCCCAGCAGCCAGAAATCCCCAGATATGTCCCAGTTCATTCATGCACAGCGAAACAATGCTTATGCAATGAGGGTGATACATCTTTGTCTTAAACAGCTATCCGTAAACCCTCCGTGTAATGTTTGCGCTGCAGACCCAGGCTGCACAGCCTGGGATTTCCTGGACATGCACCATGTTGTGCAGTCACACATTTCTATGCAGAAATACGGCAACCCTTGGAGCCGCTGTGTCATTAGAAAGATGGGGATGGGGGATGGGGTGGAGCGGAAGAGGACTGTCACCCCTCGTTACTGATTAGGTCACACAGTGAACAAATGGCCGACCTGGACATTGTCCCCACCACTCATTCCATGTCTGTGCTGCACTCTAGTCCAGCTACTTAAGGACTTTTTCTGTCCAGCCTCTCCTGCAACACTACACCACAGAAGACTGTATTCTCTTCTCATAAGCCTCAGTAATGCTGCAGGGTATGGCCTCATACATTTCAAAGTCAGGATTTTTCATCTTGCCCCCATGCTCTCATGCACCATCTGCTCTCCCATTGTATGGTACTGCATCATGCAGACCAGCCTGCCGGCAGCTGAGTTCCCGTGGATGGGGTCATCTCACATCAGGTCTAAGTGGCTGTGCTTTACCTCGCAGTTCAGCCCATGGATAAATCCTTAATATCTGAAAACATAATCTTAAAATACTGATCAGCATATTGGTACAATGGTGGCATAAAAGTGAAAAAAAAAAATTCCTCTGCTTTACTGAGAGAAAGATTATTCACATGGTGAACATAGGTCACTCAGCTGAGAGGGAAATTCAGTCTGAAGCAAACTGTGGAAAGAGAAGCTATAGACTACGTAGCTATGAACAAGAGCATCTGACCGACCTGGTTAGGGTTGGGTTTGCACTGTGGACCTGAAGAAAGACTGAAAAACAGAAAGGGCGATACCCATCATTCCCACATCTATTTGGTTCTCCCGGTTTGGTTCTCAAAAGCAATCCTATATTAGAAGAGTTACAGAGCTGCTGTGTGGCCTGGGGCAGGGTACTTCACCTTTCTGCTACAGAAACATTAATTTGTATTATCATCAATCTGCAGGCCCTGGGAGTCTCAGGGACATCCATCCACATCATTGGGGTAAGCCTCGGTGCGCATGTCGGGGGCCTGGTGGGGCACTTCCATGGCGGTCAGCTGGGACGGATAACAGGTATCATAAAACTGAGGTTTGGGTCCTCACCTGCTATTCAAGGAAGAGAATGAAAGAGCAAGTAAGGGGAGTCATCCATGGTGGTCTTTTAATTGCATATGGGCTCATTAGATCCAAGCTTATGGGCTGCTTCCTAGCTTCAGAAGAGCCTGACAATGTCTTTCCAGCCATCACACTGCCAAAAGAATGCATGTATTTGCAGAATACATGGGTCCTTCTGCCTCTGCTCCACTCTTCAAATTGGTGCCAGCTTAAAAGAATATGAGGCCTCATGACTAATGAAAACCCACAACACCCACATTCTTTGCTTCCACTTTATAGCATGTATACCTCTGTGGTTCTTAAAATTAAAGCCCACAATGCATGTCGTTGTGGGGGAGCAGCAAGAGTGAGCTGCTCTGCAGGAAAACGTGAGCTTAGAGCCAAGGGGACAGCAAGGTAGGCAGGGGCAGGGGCAGTGGCCCCACTGACAAGGGACACAGTCCTACTGTATGTGGGCAAGAAGAGCAGAGCAGGTCCAGTGAGAGGAATCAGGGTCATCCACAGTCCAGTGATCACCAGGCAAGTCTGTGGTGATGAGGCAAGCCCAAGGTCAAGCCAGGAAGTCAAGTCGGCGACATAAAAGCAGTACCAGCAACACACAGCACTGGGCATGGCATCCCTACAACACAGCTCAGGCAAGGACCAAAGGCAAGAGCCTGAGCCAATGTTGTGAGGCCCCAGATGAGGCTTCTTGCTGTTCTTTCCCACAAGTCAGCTGTTTTCACAGTAGACTGGTCTGAGGCCACCCAGTTGTACCAAACCAGAGCTGACCTTAAACACAGAGAGCCAGACGCCTGGGTGTGAGGAAGAGGTTTCAGTGGGGGAATTACAGAGAAAGATGGTTAGAGGCTGATCATGGCATTTAGAGCTTTTTGGTTCACTCAGGGTCTTGTCAGGCTTTAGGTATGGAGTGTGAATGGAGTCACAGAATGATTTAGGTAAGAAGGGACCTTGGAAGGTCTGTAGTCCACCTGCCCCACTCAAAGCGGGGCTGCCTTCTAAGTCAGATCAGGTTGTCGAAGGTCTTGTCAATTTCTGGGAATCCCCAGGGATGGAAATTCATTTTGATAGGAAGGAAAATGCCACCAAGAAGGAACAGACATAAAGGCTCCAGTAGAGTGAGCGTAGCTCCCAGTCTATGTCAGCCCATGCTGGTCTGTCTCACAGAGGTATCCTCAAGGAGGGTCTCACTGCACACTCAGCAGGGCAGTCCAGAGAAATGTTGGTTCAGCCTTCACATGTCACAGCTACCCACACTGCATGAGATACAGGCATTTCTTAACAGGAGCTGAGTTTCATGCCGAGCCCTTTTTTAAGCTGGGAATCGAAGTTTACATTAGGAGGGACTTGGAGTAACCACTCTCCTGCACCAGGATTTTATGATCAGCAACATCTTCAGATGGGTAGAGGCAGACACTTTCCCAGGAGACCATGGTAATTAACTTCAGCGTCAGAAACTTTTGTCCTTTATGTTGTCTATATGTAATAAAAGCTCTGAAGGTCTATTTATTCCATTAATTTTTATCTCTGCTAAAAGACAACCATTTTTCTACATTCCTGATTGTCCTATGATTTCCTAGGCACACTGGGCATTGCAGGTTCCAGTTCAGATTTAGGAGCATGAAGACAGGTGGAATTAGACCCAAGATATGTCTGAGGTCATCTGCTGCCTCCTCACACACATGCATATATCCACAGAGGAATGTGATCCCAGAGCCATAATTTGCTGCAGTGTTTTCAATCACCTAAAAAGAGCTGTGCAGCAAAACCAGAGTGAGTCTTGGAGATCAGAGCACAGACTTTATTTTTGTGAAGTGAGTTTTTTTAACCCATGCCTGTTCCTGTGGATATCTCCCTATGCAGAAAAGCAAATGGCACAGGAACTGGAATGAATAGCCCATATCCAAAATTGCTGAAGAGCAATTTGTTTCAGTACTTGTAGAGGAAATGAAAAAGCCTGAAGGAATTCAGCTGCATACAGTATAGCTTCAGTGAACATTTTTCTTAGCTGATGAGGATGTACAGTTCAATGGAGTTTATGCAGCTTGTTCTTGGAGGAGGTAGGTGTAGAGAATAGAGGATAGAAATGTGCTTGCCTCAGAACTGTGCTAGAATTGACTGCTGCTCATATTAGGTGTGTCTCCCTCCTCAGGAAGAACTTTATATATATATATATACACCAAATAACACTTTTCAGTATCTCTTAAAGCCTTTAAGTAAAACTTGGACTGTAGAAGTGGGTGGGGAACCTCTCAGCTTTTTGTCTGTCTCAAGATTAAAGAACATGGATGAAAAATTAAAGCCGTACATTCTTCTGACCACTTGTTCTATTGCTAGCTTTTATTTATAGAAAGAACAGGAAATAATTTTTTTTGCTTGTTTCCCTTTTCCTCCTTCCCTCCCCCTTCACAGACACATCAGTTTGTATATTGTTGATATTGCCTTCTCCATAGAGAATTAGTGGGACTGAGTCCAAGGCAGTGAAACTGGCCAGCTCTGAGGCTAAGTGGCATGTGGAGCAGAGCTGCTCCTTAAACTATTGTTGTTGCCTGGGGAGTGAAAAAAATCTTGTGAGATTACTTTTCTATGAAAACTGAACAGGATAAACCTCAGCCAGAACAACAACAACAAAAAGATCTTTAACCTGTTCCTTGGTATTGCCAAGGATAATTTTCTGTATTCCTTTGACTCCCAAGAAGTTGCTCTAGGAACAAGTTTTAGGCAAAAATGTAGATGGCTGCCTAAGAACTTGATTTTATTTGTGGGGAGAGGGCTCAGAAGCCTCTTTGTTTTAAGGATGTTTGATAGTATCAAACCTTTGTAATGCTTGGATTGGTTAATGCCTGGGATGCTGAATTCATCACCTAACTCATGATCTTCAGTGACATTTCTCAGACTGTAATGCTAATACTGATGACAGTACAATTAGGGAAGGTGTTACGAATTTGATTCTTTTTCACCGAAAATCCAAAAGACACTCCGCACCCACTCTGTCAGAGCTATCTGAAGCTCAGTCATGGCTTTACAGCCTAGAAACTTGAGGTACAAAACTGCTAAAGGGGAGTGGAACAGTGGATGACAAGTTAAGGAAGCTGTAGTGGAAGTTAGTGGGGGCAGAAACCATTCTGGAGCATAAGCAATGCAACCTGGGAAGAATTTATCACTTCTGCCTAGCAACATTTTTAAAGTTTTGGATAAAATAACTGGTCCAGAAATAAGAAAGAGAGGGGCTGAAGGACACTTGTTGTTGAGGCATTTGATTTTGTTACAGGCCTGGATCCCGCAGGCCCTAAGTACACCAGAGCCAGCCATGAGGAACGCCTGGATCCTGGAGATGCCCTCTTCGTGGAAGCCATTCATACTGATGCTGACAGTAAGCCGGCTTCCATCTTCTTCGCCCCATGCTTCTGTTCCTCCTGCCATCATTATTGCTAGGGAGCCTGTAGGTCATTGCCCGTTTTTTGCCAGATTACCATGAGTTCAGGTTCGCTCGGAGGAAGTTTCTTGATTAGATAGGCTTTAATGTTGAATTCATTGGCAGGTGTCCATACCCCAGAGAACTTCAAGCAACACAAAGGTGGAGATTAGACAGAGGGCAATCTTCCATCAAATATTTCTTCCTTAACTCTGCTACAGCAGAGTGAGTTTATGCAGAACCAGCTCAGCATGGCTTTTACCACTTTGAAGGAATTTACATGTCTAGTCTCACTTTGCTTTTTCCCACCTGACAGAAGAAAGATGCCACTGCAAGTGCCGGTGGAAAGTAACAGAGTCAAACCAACAGCTGATGCAACAACAGAGTAACTTTTCTAAAGCACTTCAGGTCTACGTAGGCAGAACACGTGCTGAAGAATAATGTGGTGCCTTTGAGTCACACCTCTTGCCTGGAGATCACAAAAATCCCTATCAATGTAACTCTCAATCATGCCTCATAATCATCCATTAAGGTTGTGGTCAGTTTTGTTCTCCTTTACACAGAATCAAGAACCTGAATTACGGAGGTGGTGATTAAGCCAGGTGTGAATGCAGGCATGCAGGAACAGGAAATCTGTCCTTGCTGTCTCCAGTACTGGAACTGGGTCCAGCACTACTAATGTTCAACCAGTTATTGGGGCCTGTCATACACCATGTAGGGTAAAGCCTACAGAAGAGCCAAGTGTAAGAATGAAGTGGTATTTCACCTCCTTTCAGATTTCGGCATCCGGATTCCTGTAGGCCACATCGATTATTTCGTCAATGGAGGCAAAGATCAGCCAGGATGCCCCCCGATCTCTGCAGGTGAGAACACTCTGTGGCCAAGCAAAGGGCTTTCATGGACATTCAGCAGACTGTGAAAACACTGTTTGGCAACCAGCTCCTGCTACAGTCAGGGCCGATATCAAAGCGAGACAACAGGTATTTGTAAAGACATATGGCAGCAGAGATTCATGGCCCACATCTCCTCTCAGCACTACAACAAGCAGCTGAAATTAAAATCACATACAGGTCAAGTGTCTTGGCAGCACCGCCGTCAAAACAGATGTGATTTTGGTGGCACTTCTGTGTGTGCCAAAACCCTAGCATCAGTAGAGTTTGTATCAACAAAGAAAACATTTTTGCTAGAAAGACTCTTAGGTGCTACAAGCAAAAGCTTCGTTTTCATGCTGCAAGCTGTGACTATACTTGAGAGACAGCTTGTACGATTACTGTTCTTTCCTTCTGGCGAATAGGACTTTACAGTGTAAATAGTGTGGATAAATATTCAAATATGTTCTGGATGAGCCAGCTGCATTGAGGGTCAGGTTATAGAGCACACCTATGGTACCTCACTTCCCATAGCTGGGGTCACGGTGCAGGTGGGAGTCAAAGCTATTGTATCCCCTTGCAGAGAGCTTGGGGCCTCATCGATGGTACACTGACGGAGACATGGTCCCCTTCTTTTGAGGGACTCTGTTAGTCTGGGAGATACACTTCTAACTTCCTGCATAATTTCTCTTGCAGTGGGATCTGGGCCTGTGGTCACAGATGCTCTGCAAAATGTTATTAATGGGAAGGGGATTGCTGCAGAATCAGTAGGAGTGTTTCTTGACTCTCAGTTCTTGAGAACATGCAAAAAGACTGAAGCCAACAGAAAGGCTAATGGCTGCTTTTCTCTGGGTGCATTTTTTCTTGCAGGGTATAAGTATCTGATCTGTGATCACATGAGGGCAGTAGAACTCTATGTCAGTGCCTTGAAACATTCCTGCCCGATCCTGGCGTTCCCCTGCTCAAGTCATCAAGATTTTTTAAACGGTCGTTGCCTGGACTGTGTTGACCCCTTCCTGTTCTCCTGTCCCAGAATAGGTACAGTACCAGCATGAGACCTTCCTGGAGCAGATGACAATACATTCCTGACGGGTGTCAGTGCAGAGCACAGTACGTGGTTCAGATTCCTCTGAGCAGGATTTGCTTTGTATCTCTTTGGGGATAGTGAGAAGCTGTTTCATTTTCAGGGTCCTATAGAGATGCTCTAAAAGGTCATATATTGCCTGAGGCAGAACACCAATGTCCTGAGTATTTCTGATCTTTAAACATTTCATAGGACCCACAAATGAGTTGAAAGAGAGTCTCTGGAATCACCTGCCTAACAAGGGGGCAATTAGGTCAAAAAAATGTCTTGTTTAGAGAAGCAGAAATTTTAGCCCAAGCCTGAAGTCCCATTCTTCTACAAACTACTCACTGTTGCTGTGTCACCTCCTTCTCATAAATTCCTGGCATGGCCACCCCAAAGATAAACTCCCTGGACTGAGAGGAGGTAATAGTTGCCTCTTTTAAGCATCTGAAACTGGGCTGTGGCATGAGAGGAAGTGTACTCTGGTGGTATTTGCAGTCTGGTACCAGAGGAATACAAGGAGAGGCCTCTTTTCGTATAGGTGCTCTCAGATCAGCCACCCCTTCTGCCATCTCACCAAGCCACATTGTCAGCTAGTCAGTAGTGCAGGCCTTAAGTTATGGCGGTCTTCTCAGTTGACAAAGAAATTCAATTTACCAGCACCTTGTGTTTGCATTGCCATTTACATCTGCACTAAGTTTCCTGACTTGGTAGTCTTTAGTCTTGCTCATTTTGCACAGGTGCAACTGATGACACAGTTTGTTAGCAAAGGAATGAAACAAAGCCACCAAGAGGTACTCTGATGATGATTACTGGGGTAGCCAGAACAGATTTTCTGAGGGAATGTTAACCTGTCAAATAGACACCACAAAGCTGTACTTGCTCTAATTTGCACTGGCATAAAAAAGGGTCTGTCCTCCAAGACAGCAGGGTTGGGTGGGGTGAGGAGGTGTATCAGGACCAATTCTATTTCTGTTCTGGGTCATTCATGGCTTTCCCTGCTCTGGCTTTATTTCCTCTTGCAGGTCTTCTGGAGCAGGCAGGTGTTAAGATGAGAAAGCTGCCCAAGGAAGTGAAAGTCTATTTAATGACCAGTCCCTCAGCCCCATTCTGTGGTAAGTAGCAACGAGAAAAAACGAGTCAGAAAGGTGTTGACCAAATGAGGCAGATCATCTGGGGAGGCCAGGTAGTTACAACCCACCATCCCCATCAGAATCAGCTGCTGTGTCTCAGATTGTCTGAGACACACAGCTGCAGAGCAATAACTCTGCACATCTTCCCCATAGAGCCCTTTCCAATGGGTTTATTGGTGTGGGCACAGCCCTGGATTAAGACAGCCAGATGGTTTCAGGACTGAAGTAAAGGGTAGTGAAAATGTCTGTCTGTTCACACTGGACTATGCAGACCTGCTCACTGTGCCTCTCATACCACAGAGACTGTTTTCTTTCTTGTGTCTGTTTAGTCTTCTTTCTGCTGGTGGGGCCAGGGGATGAATGCTAGAGGCCTTCTTTTGGCAGGGGTGGGTCCAACCAATAGTACCTGCCCTCACTCCCATATACTTTGCCTCTTGCTCAGTCCATCACAGCCTGGTTGAGTTCCACTTGCAAAAGAAAAGAAACAGAGTCACCAGCATTGAGATCACTTTCCACAGCAACAGCACCAAGGACACAGCGAAGATCACCATGTGAGTGACAGTACATGCTTCTGGCCTGTTTTATCCCAGCTCCCTGTGTAAGGATGTTTATACCAATCCAGGAAAGGCACAAGGGTAGTGTATCTCCCTGAGTACAGTCACTTTGTGATGAACCACAACCTTTCTTCTTGAGTCCCTCCACATTTACCTTAAATGCTGTCAAGAATCAGGCATGTGCTACCATTACTCAGTAACTCTGGCTAGGTCCACCTCTTCCCCAAGTGCGCAAAGCAGTAGGCATACTCTGGGATCCCCAGATTTGCATACTTTTGTGTTGCTATGCTGGTTCCTTTTCTACACCATATCCTTGCCTGGTGCCAATTTGAACCGCAATCACTGTCAGATAGTTGTTAGCTCTACTCTGCCAGACAGAGATGGCTACAGCAAGACCCCATCTACCAGAGGTTCCAGACTGATGGACTTGGTGGCTTAGACATTTCTCTTGATGCCCAATAGGACAGCAGTTGCAAAGAGGAGACAAGTGCATCTCTGCACAGTCAGAAATGTGTTCAGTAGCTTGTTGCCACTGTGGTAATGCAGCAAAGCTCTCAGGGCCCCATTGTAGGAAAAAGTCCAGGGGCCAGGGGACCAAGACCACATGTGCAGACAGACAGATCTCTCTTGAAAGCATCACCCTCCTCCAAACTGTATCTATGAATTAAAGAACCAGACTCAGACTCCTGTTCCACAGCCTTTGCCTCAGGGGGATCTCCCCACCACAGAGCAGTTCCCCCAAAGAAGTCTTCCTCATTTCTTCCTACACCTTCCTGCCTACTGCTGTGGGCTGGGAACCGCAATGTAGACAAACAGCTAGCACATGCTGCTGGCTGCCTCAGGAAGCAGGAAAAGAGTCTGCTAAAGAGCCCCAGCCAGCTCTCCTATATCAGAGGGGTATCAGAGGGGTTCCAGCACTAGCTCCCACACAGTCCTTACTGCTAAGCCAAAACATTGTGACCTGAAGCTAATTGTGTTGCTGCTTCAGTCCTGGGCAACAGGAGGTAGAGGTGAAAACCAGGGAAGAGGAAGCCACGCTCCAGGGTTCTCTACAGCATGACATAGCTGCTTGGTCACAGATTTCCAGCCAGGCACTGCAATTTGGAGTTTCTACTCCAGCCTGGTGGATCTCAGTCTGTTCAACCCCTCCATGGCTTGGAAGCCAAATCTGCCTTTTCCAGAGATGCAGGAGGGAGGAAATCGTAACACCCGGGTCAAGGCAGGACCCATGCTGTGCTCAGGAAGACATGCAGCACTTCCTTTTGCAGTGTCGGATGCAGGGTTTGACACATGCAGGGGGCATGTGAGCACTGGAGAGAAAGGCTGCCTGGGGAAGTGAGACAGGCAGGCAATCCCAAGGCTTTGCTGTACCCTCAAGTTTTAATGAGACAGTAGAGTTATAGCAGGGTAGCCTATCCAGAGATATCCTTACCCTGGGAGAACAGCAGCTGTGTTTCAAGTGCCTTCTTGAGAAGGCACTTAATTGCTTACAGCAATAAACCTACATATTTGAGAGTATAAAACTGAAGATACCCCTTTTAATTCACGCTGTAGCAAAGAAACTTCCCTGCTCTAGGCAAAGCTCAGCCTTCCAGTGCAGTCAAGCTCAGAGTGTCAAATGGGCATCTAAACATAGATTCTCACATCACAGTTCAGACACTGATTGATCACTGACTTACTTCAGGTGATCTGACATGCATGTCATCCTGCAGTTCCCCAGAAGTGCACAGGGACTTGGGAGTGTTCAGCCAGTCTCATACCTTCAGCAAGTGACTTGCCATTTTCCTCTCCCAAACATCAGTTCCAATCTCCTAGGGATGCCGTTACCCCACACGTGGCTCAGAGTGCCCCAAGAGACATATCCCCAAGCCTCATAGCTGCCATGGGGCTGACAGAGTAAGGAGCTTGTTACACAACACACTTCCCAGCTGCATTGCCATTGCTTACACATCACACAACATCATCCCCGATATCCAAGAAGACATATTTCTGAAGCCAGTCTAGGGTCCTACAGCCATCCAAAGGTTGTGTGGGGTTGGACCAAATGCCAGTCCCAGGAGTGACTTTCTTCAACCTGCTTAACCTTACTGTGTTCCTCTGTCCTAGGGCAGGGCTGGATCCTGCCCATGGACAATATGCAATAGAGAGATGGCCTCCACTCTGTTTTCCATTTGCTATCTGTTATTCACCTTTATAACCACAATTTCATGATGCTTCCTATTTTTGGCAGCTTTGAGCCAGACACAAACATAGTCAGACACAGAAAATCTACAGCATCTACCACTGCAGTCTAAGGGAGGGATGGGACGTACTGGTTTGGGTTGGCCACTCTGGCCTAGGAAGATACTGATTGCAGCTGTCAGACTGCTCCTGGGAGCAATTTTGTTTAGCAGAATTGTAGGCTCTTGCTGATCCTTTTGTCACTTTCCCTACCATCACATTTCTGATCAGGCAGTCACCCAGGTGCTTCTGGGATTGTGCTGGGTCAGCTACACACATATTCTTCATGAGCACAAGGAAATTGATGATCTCCGGCTCTTAGAGGTGCCAAGCAGATCAAGCATAAGGCGGCCCATTGGATGGGGTCCACAGAAGGGAGGTGGCCCACCTATGTAAAATGGCTGGGCAGCACCCCTTCGTAGCACATGACTGACTGGGCTCTGATCATTGGCTGCTTACCTAGCCTCTGGTATTTCTCAGTTCATGTTACCGGGGTAAGAGCATAGGGACAGACAAACGTCCCTCTATCCAAGCATCCCACCTTCAACACTGTCAAAAGCAAATACCTGGAGAAAAGTGTAAAAAAAGGCAGTGTAAGCATGTAGCAATACTTCCCCCAAATAGTTTCCCAGTGTCTGACTAATTACGTCTCAGGGACTTTCAGAGCCAAAGGTGAGATCTTTGTCCTTATTAGCTCCCAATGCTTTTGTCTTCCACAAACTTGTCCAGTCCCCCTCCCATGACTTGTACAGACGTGAATTTTCTAGCACCCACAACATCCCACAGCAAGGATTTTAACAGCTTAAAAGGAATGATATTTTGTGCAGTGTGCAATCTTTTTGAGCCTGCCACCTGTTAGTTTTCTTTGATGACCCGTAGTTCCTGCACCATTTCCTGGAAGAAATGGTGAACAACCAATCCCTATGGGTGCCATTCATGATTTCATAGATGTTGACCTTATCTACCACTTACCTCTCTGTAGCAATCTGGGCAGTGTTTCAATCTATCTGCAATAGCAAGAAGAGTTGTAATTGTGTGACAGAAGGAAGGATATTTATACAGAAATTTTCCTGACTTTAGAGATAAAACATGGAGAGACAGCCAATAAGACTCTCACACAATGCTCTGTTTTGACAGATGAGTCTTCTCACTCCATTTTAGTATGTGTCCTGGTTTCGGCTGGGATAGAGTTAATTTTCTTCCTAGCAGCAGGCATAGTGCTGTGTTTTGGATTTAGTAGGAGAAGAATGTTGATAACGTGCTGATGTTTTTAGTTGTTGCTGAGTACTGCTTATGCTAGTCAAGGACTTTTTCAGCTTCCCATGCTCTGCCAGGCGCACAAGAAACTGGGAGGGGGCACAGCCAGAAGAGTTGATCCAAACTCACCAAAGGGCTATTCCATACCATATGACGTCATGCTCAGTATATAAACTGCGGGGGGGGGTGGCCAGGGAGCAGCGATCGCTGCTCGGGAACTGTCTGGGTATCAGTCGGCGGGTGGTGAGCAATTGCATTGTGCATCACTTGCTTCGTGTATCATTATTATTATTATCATTATTATACTGTTACTATTATCATTACTATTTTACTTTATTTCAATTATTAAACTGTTCTTATCTCAACCCAGGAGTGTTTCTCACTCTTACTCCTCCGATTCTCTCCCCCATCCCATCGGGGTAGGGGAGGGAGCGAGCGGCTGCGTGGTGCTTAGTTGCTGGCTGGGGCTAAACCACAACAGTATGTGAGAGCTTCATGATAATATGTAGGTTCCCCCAGTGTTTCAACACATCTGCATACGGCCTGCATCTGCAGGTTGATTGAATGTTCTCCCTCACATCTCTCACCCTACCTTGCAGACCTAAGCACCAGGAGATGGGCAAACGACTGCTGGCCCACAGAGTTCCCCTCTGCCAGATAAACAGCGTGTCACTGAAGTATCTCTCCAAGAATCAGTTTTGGGGGAAGGACGAGTCATTCATTGTCGGCAAGTTCTGTGCAGCCCCACTGCCTCTAGATAGCAAGTAAGTCACGGGAATATTTTACAGGGATCCACTGAGTCTGTGGATGCCACCTCTGGTTTGAAACAATGCATTCTCTTTTCCTTTTAGATGAACATGTAAGGAGGTCTCTCCCATCTCCTCTGTGTCCCTATGTAAATCATTTTCCTCCTGTTAGAGAGAAAAACTTCCAAGGTAGTTTTCTAGGAGTTTTCTATGATTCTTCCCCCAGGATAAAAGTGTTGTGTCATGGAAGGAAAACAGCTGCTACTCACATCACCTTGAAGATGCTTAAGTCACAAACCATGGCAAAAGCTTGTACTAACTAGAATTTGTTCCTTTTGTCCTTGCTTGGTCTCTCCATCTTCCTCCTGTCTACAATGGGCCCCCACTTGAAACATGACAGACGCACATTTTTCAGGATGAGACAACAGAAGACCAGTAAAACACTTCTGCTTCTTATAATGCACAGGTTTATAAAGCACTATGGCTAAAGACAACCATTTTGGCATTTTCTGGGCCAGGCATTGTAGAGTATATGCCTTCAGCCGTAATTACGTTACCCAGAGTAGAAGCAGCCAAGTCCTTCTCATCCAAGAGAGATAATGGTCTTCTCCACAATACAATATTCTTGCCAGGAGTTTTGCAGATCCAGAGTTCTTGCAGGCAGGGAAAAACAGCAGTGTCTATACTGACACATTAAACTGTCCACATTGCTTCTGAGTTGACTCTTATGTTGTCTCCAGGCTGAAGCAAGCTAGTGGGTACTCCAAAGCAGGGAAAACCAGAAGCAGAAGGGAGACTGGGCCCACATTCAAATTCTGTTCTGATGGGCAGTAAGGAGACTCGAGCACAAGGCAGTAAAAATATATCTAGTAGGCCCAGATAGGGAAAAAAAGAGGCATTCCTATGTAAATACCAGGTGCTCCCTTGAACATAAGGAGTATTCCTTACTAGTGTGCTTTGCAGAACAAGGCACTCCAAAGTTGTGCGCAGATACATGGCTTTTTATCACTTATGAATGGGACAGCATGGCACATTGCCTTAAAGGTGTGCTAACCTGCACCCCTGGAAGCACTGGACTTGCTGTGGTTCAGGTAGAAAGCTGTAGGGTTGCACAGGTTCACAACTATGGTCTTATTGCTAAGCTGGGAGTACTCAGAGCAACAATGCTACTGCTAGGAGGCGGCAGTGGAAAGGTGAAGGATACAACCCCATATGCACCCCTCCAGCCAATTCATGCCAGCCAGGGCACAGCACCCTGTTCATCATACCCTTGCAAAGCAGCTTGCTTGCCTCTGTGTTAGGATAGCAACCTCCACCTGTTAATGCACAGCCTGACTTCCCTGTGCTCTTCCCGCAGCAGGACAACGTCATGCCTGCCCTGGAACCTCAGCCTCCCCAGCAACACAGACATCTCCTATGAGCTGCCCACTGCTTGTGCCTAGCACTGCCTTCAGAGCATGCAGGCATACCCAAAAGCGGAAAGGAGCCCGGAACCTATTGCTGCTCTCTGCTCACAGATGATACTTTCACTGTAAAACTGGATGGGTTTTTTACTTCCTGCATTAGGGACAGGATGTCAAGGAAAAGAAGCGTGCGGCAGATCAGTGAGTACAAGGTTGATTGGTTACATCAAGATGTCTCAGTTAAAAGACTGGATTGGGACTTTTATCTTATGGATTCTGTAACCAGCTCTGAAAGCGAGATGGGCACGTCATTTAATCTCAAGGTTCAGATCTGTATGCAAGAAGAAGATAATATCACTCTTCCTACAACAGGAGTATTGGGATGATTCATTTGTGGTTTATATTAAAGTGTCTTGAGAACTTCATATTAAAGATGAGAAGTATTATTTCTCCTCATCAAGGGGAAACTGTGTGGTTCACGTTTGGCACAGGAAGGAGTCATGCTTGGCCAACAGTCCAATGGGAAACTCACTAGTCCTATCTACAAGTCACTTTCAGAGTGAGACCCTATTGATTTCATGTTAGTGTTCCTGCTAAATAATCAGATTGAATCTCCTTCCCATGACAGGCCTGGAGCAGCTCTTCTGGCTGTTGGCTTGCTCTCTTTGAAGCTCACATGAAGTGAAAAAGACACCAGGAGCATGACAGTGCTCTTGCATCCAATTTTGCACTGCTTTGAACAACTGCCCATGATAGAAGGTAATAGGAGGAGAATGGAGCATCCTACTCCAGGGCCACCTAACACAAATTAGTCCCAGGAACTCAGTACAGCCCTTCAGACCTGGAAAAGTAGCCAAGATTTGGAAAGAATTGGTGAAAGATTGTGAGAGACACGTACATAGAAACAGCCCTCACCCATCCACACCTTTTCCACCACCTTGATGCATATGCAAATTAAAGAGGAGAAAGTCTTACATCACTTCTGCCCACAAACCATATCTTCTATAGACCATTTTCTCTGGTTCTCTGGACTGGCTTCACTGGGTGATAGAGAAGTGCACCAGGAACACCATGGTCAGGAGAGAGGGACATGCTAAAGGCACTTCTGCTGTGAGGAAGCCTCAGTCATTTGGCACGAGCAGTCACTACTACTCCACTAGACAGTATCACTGCAGAGTTAGCTCCTGCTTTCAGCTCACATCCAAGCTTCTGGTCCCTGCCATGTGGCTCTTTGGAAGGCCACCTAACAAACACCATCTCCAGCATACACTCAGGAGAGAGTTAGAGCTGGGCTCTGACAACCTGACAGAGATCCAGGTTAGTTGGTGCCATGACTGAAGGGTTTCCAGGGAGCTTCTTGTTGAAGACTGGAATATAGCCACAGCAGGCACCTGTGAAGGGCAGTGTGTGATTCAGCCCAATCCAGTCCACTACTTTAGGGAGGTGTATAAAGCACGACAACGGACTCAGTTTCATTGTGCATTTCAGTTCCTTTGCAGAAGGGACCCCAGCAGCTCTCGTGTTAATTTGCTGGAAACATTTCCTAGCTGTGCAGGGCAATGGGGTCAGGCTGAAGCAAGAATGCTGCAACAGACCATGGTGACAACCATTAGCAGGATGTTCCCCAGGCTTGGGGCAGCCCTGTTCTCCTACCCTGGGGTGACAGCAAAGGTGAGCAGCGCGAGGAGCGGTATACGCCATGGATCCCACATACCCACCACTACAGAGGCCTCTCCAGACCTCATCAAGAGTGCCAGATCCTGAGAACGCAGATCCCAGCCGAGACTTGCAAGACACACCAAACCCATTGCCCCTGTGTGAGCAGCACAAGGCAGGTAGGGCCGCCTCCGCCAGCCTGGGCTGACACAGAGCCAGCCACCAGATGACACCAGATGGCCGTGCCCCGCGCATCTGTGCCAAGAGGCACTAAAGAACGTCCTGCCCTGTGCGTGCTGAAAGAGGGATTGATGTTCCTCGCTCCTCCCCTGAATATCTACCCTGGAGATGCTGCTATCCTCACTGCGCAGCTTGGTTGCACCAGACCCAGTGGGACAGAGGATTCCTCCACTGGGACTGTCATCTCCAATTCCCTGACAGAGGAAACGGCTGGGGAAGCTTGTCAGCCTGTTGCAGCTGAATTTGAAAAAGACCTTCCATCTCCACACTATTTTCATCTAAGATATTGCACTTGTCCTACCAGTGACTGCTCTCCACAGAGGTGTTTTGTACTCACTCATTTCTTCACTCAGTGTGTGCATCCTGAGGTCCTTCCCGTCGAGCACAAAAAAAAAAAAAAAGGGTCCAAAAAAAGGGTTCAGGCTCTCCTTCTTGCCTACACCTGCCCCCAGCCCCAATTCTTCCCCTTTCTTATTCCAAATGAATCAACTCAAACCAACAACTTTTTACCAGAAGTTGGTAACTTCTTTGAGAAGTGGTGCTTGTCATAAATGAGAAATCCTAACCCCTGGAAAAGGAATTTTTGGTCTTACTACAGTGGATGCCCAGTAGGATGCATGATATCCAATCTCCGTATCACGCTCTCCGTTACAAGCCCATTACCAAAGCCATTAGGCAGCCCATTTTCCCCCGTCCTTTCCCCACCATGCCTTGAGATTACCTCAAGCTTTTCAACAGTGTTATCTCCCTCTCCAAATCCTCAAACACGAGTAGTTTCATCTCTGACTTTAATGGGAATCATTAAATCAAAGGGAACACAAATTCTGCGAGCAGGCTGGTATCGTTTGCAGCGATATCAGTGTACCTTGGTATCAGAGCTGCCAACACACCTCAGAGAGGCAGGACTAGAAAACAAACCGGGGAAGCACACTGGGGCAGGCAGCTCTGGTGAACAACTGTGGGGTGGGAGGTGCTGGAGTGTCACACTGCAGTATCACGCGTGTACTTCATGTGCTCCCAAGTGTACACGTCTGCAGGCAGACGTCTCAGTGCGTACTAAAGAGTGTCTCTCTGGTCAGAAACCTATTTGAGCTTACGCTCCCTCCAAGGGGCTTCGGGATCAAAACAGCCTGTTGTTCCCTAGAGTTCAGGGGTCTGAGTGGGAGCCAGAGGGGCTCGTCCTTTGCAGAGAGGGTGGGGGGAACTCCGGAGAAGGTTTCCAGAGTCCCCATCTTGCAGTCTATCGGCTCCCCGCGGGGGGGGGGGGCGGGGGGGCAGGGGGGGGGGAGGAGAGAGAAAAAAAGAGAGCACCATTATCGTCACAGGAATAATTCTTACTTCCAAACTTTTCCAAGACACATATGTCAAGAAGCCCACCACTACCTGTCCTTCTCTCCTCCCCTCCCCTCTTAAATTAGTATGCAAAACTATGCAATTATTCAGCGAATGATAATTCAGAAAATGGAGTGACCCACCCATCCTGAGGCAGCAAAAACAAACCCCTCCAAAGCACCTTCTGTAATATCAGTTAAAAGCCCACACAGCTCCTTTGATTTTGCTCTCAAAGTGGGTACAAACCAATTCTTGCTAACTTAGATACCGAGCTACAGGCCATCAAGCATCCATCCATCCACCTCACCCACCAGATAGAAAGCCAGCCCCTAGATGTAACTGTACAAAACTAAGCAGCAGCAGCTCCACATCTTGCAAGCACTCAATAGCAACAAACTAGAGCAAATGCAACACAAAAAGGGGAAAAAGCAGGTGGCTTTTGGTTGTTGGAATTTTCATGCAAGGAGTAAAGCTTAGTTTGCTATGGAGCATTGAGCTACAGAGTAGTACACTGTTAAAGCAAGTTTTGAACAGAACCTGCATCTTTTAAACAGGCAGCCTCTAAGTTACTGAAATATCTCTTCTCAGAGAAAGAATGTGCTCATCAGTGGATATCACAGTCTGTCTTGCTTGTAAGCAGGCTAGAAACTCTTTCAAGGAACTAGATGATAAGACTAGTAGGCCAGTATATCTCCCAGAAATATTTTCTTCTGCATGATCTTTGCAGCACTTTGGGCATTCAAGAATTGCCCTCTGGCACTGTGGCATTGCAAGGTGGCCGTTGCAGAGACAGAAAATGAAAAGGAATGTGATCCATAGAAGCACTTCAGCACGGGGAATATAGAGAGCTGGAAGGTGATTACCCAGCTTGGAAGCTGCTGGGGAAGGAGATGAGAGCACAGGCCTGGGGAAAGCCTCGGGGGAGCTCTGATCTCTAGGACCACAGCTATCCTTGCTTTGAACAATGACACTGCAGGGAATAGCCCTGTTTACTAAAGATGTTTTCACCACTTCTAAGGGAGAAGTTATGAAATTGCTTTCCCTGAGCCACGGCAGACCCGCTCAGATCATCCGCTGACCTGTGACAAGTGCCTGGCCAGAAAGGAAAACTGCAGTCCCTCTGTATCACTGATTTTTGTGGTTAGGCACCCAAGTCACTGTGGAATACTGTCCAGATGTGACAATTGCTGTTGTGCTGCTGGGATGTGATGTGATTAGGATACCCAAGGGGTGAGCAGAGTAACAAGGAAGTGCACGTTCCTCTGTTATGGACACATTAAACAGAGTTTGTGTATCCTTGTCCAAGTACCTTAGAAATTAAAATACCACACTGGCTATTGTCTCCAGACTGACAGACAAGGAAGATCATTCTCCTCTCCCGCCCCAAATCCTGGCCTCTGAAACCTTTTGGCTTTTATCGCAGTCTCTACTGCAAGTATCAGCACACCTTGATACTGCCTCATTCACAAGATCTAGAAAGACAAAAGCTTCCAACATGTTTTAAAAGAATTGTGTGAAAGAAAGAATAGCTTTGTGCTGTGTAGCACAAGCTTTCCCCAGCACACACATACACACACCCCTCTTGTGTGTATGTTTACAGTATTGACTCATTACCAAAAACAGGCGGAAATGATTCAAAAAAAGCTACGGTGTTCCTTGCCTCCTTCCTTTTTTTAATTGCATTTGAAATTCTAATTTTATTGAGCTTGATCAACCAGGAAAATTCTGCCAATGACCTGAGAATGAATATCCTTCTGGTGAGAAGACAAAATACAAGTAAAGCATGGACAAAGTGACTTCACCACATATACAGCACTAACTGCATTTGTTTTTGATTGCATCTATCCAACAGACACGCCTGACAGTTAGGAGGATGGCTGGCTGTCTCATAAATGATTCAGTGTTTGTGCCTCTCCAAGTAAGGACTGAAAAAGCTGCAAATTCGTACCTCCAGCAGTCTACCAGCAAAACCAGGGACTTCACATTCCTAGGACTTCTAAGCTAGAAAACAAATAAGGGTTGGGTTTTTTTTTTTTTCTTTTTCTCTCTCTGCCTCCTGTTTTTAAAAAAAAAAAAAAAGGCAAAACTCCTGCTGACTTTTTGTCTCATTGAGGCAAACCCAAACACAAATGTATTTGTTCCTTCTCTGGCCAGTTTCTTCATATCCCAGATTTTAAGGCTGGAGGCATGGAAGCAGTACAGGAACAGGCAGGTGACTCAACTCAAAGCAGGACTGTGCAAAACAGGAAGATCTTCCAGTTCCATTGTTTTCAAAGACTAAGAACAGCAAGTGGATGAAACAGCAAAAAAGGCCTCTTCCACCAGAGGCCTACGGCAAATAGCAAGTGCTGCCTGACCCACACAGCCTTTTCATTTAGAGCACCTCGGAGGGATGGTCCCCTTGCCGTCACAGCAGTGAGGCTTGTGCACAAGCACTGCAGGGGAGGGAAGATTACTGCAGCCCAGAAGTAGGGCACAGGGAAGACTGGGATGTGATGGTGCACCGTGTTCAAGGATGCCTGCTGGAAGATGGTCTCCCCAGCTGCAGCCCAGCCCTGCAGCTTCCTCCCTGCCATGCAGACCCAACTGGGACACAGGCAGTGGTCACTTCTAGGACAGAAATCCCAGTCCCAGGCTTGGTGTCTGGCAGCTGGATACCAGAATGCAAGGAATGCGCATTTCAGGGTCTGCAGCTGGCGTGCAGCAGCTGGCACGCAGTGGCTGGCTAAAAGTAGCTCAGCGTGGAATTTCTCTCTTGGCCACTTGGATCTGAATTTCAAGCACAAGCCACCCTCCTGTCTTTTTCTGTTCACCTGCATTGCTCCTCTGCCCCAGTATACACCAGGCCTGGGAATTTTTGCCTTGCAGAGTAAAGCTGGCATTTTGGAAGAGAGCATCTCATTCCCACTCACCAGAAAGCAGAGTTTGGGGTGTGTTAAAACAACGTTTAGCCTGTCAGTCCACCCAGGGTCATTGCAGGCAAGAGCTATACCACACAGGGCAGTCTTTTCAATACCTTACTGATCTGGCTGAGCTGAAGCTCAGCAGCAAAAAGGAGGACAGAGAAAATGCTGGGATGAGCTGTGGTGGGCAGGGGAAGAAGGACTCTGAGCTTTCTCCCCCTGCCCAGATTGAGCACTTGCAAGGTGTACAGCAACTCCCCACTATCAATCCGCTGTAAACCCTGGAGCTGCTTCTACCCCTGTCAGCATCTCCTGGGTTGTCTGCTCTCTCACATGCAGATGTCTTCCCCAGCTCAATACTGACATATCTCCAGGCACAGCTCTACCTCAAGGCGAGCCAGGTTGAACCTTGTGGCGTCTCTGTGGCCACTTGTGTACCACCTGCCAGCCTGGACACTCCTTCAGTTTCTCTGCCTCCCCTGAAGGATGGAAAGAGGACAGGGCAGGGAAGAGCTTCCTACAGCCGGGCTACCAGCAATTCCACCCCACAGTGCAGCCTGCAGTAAAGCCTCTACCCTGCTGCTTCTCCTTAAGAAAATCACAGAGCTGGAGCCCACCTCCTGGGATTCCTTGGGGCAGCAGGCAAAAAAACGCTGCGGAGAAGCAAACCCATGGCAAATGAGGGCGACAGGCTGGGGGCCACTGCTCTGCCCAGGCAGTTGCATCACGGGAAGAACTTGCTTCCGCAAGCGGGTACTTACGCAGGGGTCCCACACAGGGTGAGGCGTGCCCGTGCCAGGAGTGCCCTCACTTCATATACTCCCCTTCGCTCACATAGTCCATAAAAGACCCCGGCAACTCAGCAAAATCTTCCAAGACAAGACTGGTGGAGTCCTCACCCAGCAGGTCACTGTCAGGTCGGGATGCCCGGGGGCGCGGAGCCGGCGGCGGTGGTGGTGGTTGCTGCGGAGGGGGCTCGGAGGCACCAGCCTGGCCAGAGGCAGGGGGTGGCTCCTCGCAGTCCTCTGGCTCCCCCTCGGAGGAGGCTGGCCCGAGGACATGGTAGAGGCTGGGCAAGCGGATGTCGAAGCGAAGGCCGAACTTGGCAAAGAGCTTCTCGTTGAGGGAGTAGAGCTTCTCTGAGATGTCGTAGCCCAGGTGAGAGGAGAAGAGCCGGGCAATGTAGCGGTCCTTCCTTAGGAGGAGATACAGCTTCTTCCTCGGCCAGGTGATGAAGCTGCAGTCGGTCTCGGCCGTCAGCGTGACCTGTGGGGCAGGGAGGGAACAGAGTAAGCCCTACCACCCGGGTAGGGGTCACCCACTTTGGGGCTGCGTGCCTCTCTCCAGTGAAGGACCCCAGCCCCTTTGATGCCTGCTCTCCTTGGAGAGGGCGGGGCTGGAGAGCCAGATCGCCCAAACCAAACAATTGGATAAATCCTTACTGGCCTCTGTTTCCTCTCCCCAAGGAGCCAGAGACCAGGTTTTCCTATGCAATTAGTGGATACCCTTGCTTAATCTAGCCACATGACTAGCTACGTTTTACCCTCCCACTTTCAGATGATGCTCCCTGTTGACACCTGAGCAACGTAGCTGAAGTGAGCGGGGTGGCACAGATGGCCTTATCCCTCTACAGAAACGTTATGGAGGGAAGTGTTTCTGCGTGCCCAGCTGGCCCAAGTCACCAGTGGGTAGCCCTGCAGCAGGCTGCCGCCCTGTCCTGCCGCTGGGTCGCACACCCCCTGCTCCAAGAAGGCTCTGGTTAAGGGAAGGGCCACCTGGAAGGCTGCCTGGTCACCCTGCGCTAGAGGGACATCCTGCCTCGTCAGCTCTGCCAGGCACTGTAGGACTGAATGGCCTTGAAGGATGTGTGTCACAGCTCGGCAAGAGAGGAAATAAAAGGTGTTTGCTGTGTTTGTGTGTAGGTAGGGAACTCACTCAAGGTTTTATTGGGTTGATTTTAAGCAAACATTTCATTTTGCTTTGGGTTTTGCCAGTCCAAACAGAGCCATTTTTCCCCATAGCTCTAAGACCACACTATTAATAATAAAAAAACATTATATATTACAATATACACTCATATATTGTATAAATTTAAGAGTAATAATAAAAGGTAAGAAACATAGGAAGGGTCAAACTGCCTTGGGCCAAAGAACAACATCTGAGTGTAATGGAGACACTGGCATGTGAACAAGTGCTGGAGCCAAAATATCCCGGGGGCTCCCTTTCACTCTATATCCAGGGGTCTCCTTGGCCAGCCACCATGGCAGAGGGCCACTGGGAAGCTGAACAGGGCTTGGCAGCATGCGTGTGTCCTTGGGTTTGATATTTAATGCCACTGCCATGCAAGCAGCTGCCTTATGAAAGAAATATAGGAGATAAAACCTGAGAACTTTCCCAGGCTGAGATGAGCGAGAGGAAGGGTCACACGGAAACTGAAATGAGCCGAATCTCGTTTTCCTAACCAATTTCTGGCACAGCAGTCGAAAGCCTCTGCTTCTCATGATGGATTATGTGACACGTAATAAGAAAACCTGCCTCCTAGCCAGAGCAGCAGGACAAATTTCAGTCATGAATCCCCCCCAGACACAAGTGCTCTGGCATCGGCAGAGCCCATAGTTCAGCCTTCCGGGGGAAAGTGCCAGCCCTGAAACCCAAGTCCTTCAGGCACTGGGATCCAGCAGTCCTGTGGGAACAAGACACAGCCAAAGCAGAAAGCTCAAGGAAACTGGCTCTCCTTGTAGACCGAGTCGTGCTTCTGCCATTTTTTCGTGGGCTCAGGATTGAAACTGCTCAATCCGGAGAGCCATGGGGAAAACTTGGGCAAGAAAAACCTTCCATGCCCTCCTCCAGCAAAGTCCCAGAGTCAAACATGCACTTTTTTAACCAAATGATTGTGATACTAGGAATAAGGTTGAGATACGCCACAGAGTTTTATTAACTACTCAGGTAAGAGGGACTAGTGGGTTACACAGCTGCCAAAAGCAGCACATCACCATGGCTAAGCACAGCCGTCAAGAGTAATGTCCTGCCAGCAACATGGACTGGTCAAGTCTCACCTGCTGAATGCTGGTCTCAGACAGGCTGCTACTTCTTCATGCTCTTCAGTAAGCAGATGCGGGTTTTGGGCATTTCCAGCACGCGGCTGCAGACTTTCCCCACCTAGGACTCTACCTCCCCATCCTGGTGCCAGGCGCAGCTGACCTCCCTGACCAGCCCTGTCTCGCAGAGCAGGAGAGGGGCCAAGACTGTGGTGCTGGCAGGGCTGGTGCAGCCTGGCACCAGCTTGCTCCTGAGCTGTCTCACGCACCACAGATAAAGACACTCAAGAGGTCTGGGAACATTCAGTTCCACAGAAATTAGCTCAGAAAATGCTGCAGATGTCCTTGAAGGTTGCATGCCATCCAGATGGCCTTTTCCCTGCCAGGAGCACCGGGCAGCCATCGTTCTCTCTGCTCGACTCTTAGGCAGAGTCCGGGAGCTAGCAGCAATCTGCTGCCAGATTGAAGCCCTGTGCAAAACATGAGATACCCCCACCCCTAGCACAGCCATGCTGTTGTTGCCCTCTCTACTCTGTTATCTTGGCCTGACATCCCTATTTCTGCTCACGAGCTGTAGCCCTGTGCCAGAGTCACACGGTCAGCCATCTCCTGCAACTGTTCTTCCTGCACGACCATAATCGCTGGCAATGGCATAGCTTTCAGGAGCGACAGCCATGACCCTTTCACACATGGGCCAAATGTAGACTCGAGGAAAGCAGATTTGGAGAGCTGCCCTGGTTTAACCAAGTCTGAACGTGGCTGTCCTCATGAGAAAGCACCATCATTCCCTCATGGCTGTCCCACGCTCCCAAGGGATTAGCAAAATCCCTCCTCATATGCCCTAACCGACATATTCTAGATTGACATCCTGACAGGGATCAGCCTGTCCTGGGATGTGAGTTAAAGGCAGAGAGATGTGGGCTTAAGTAATCTCCTCCAGAAGGAAAGCCAAACAAATACTGTGGGGTGTTGACAGCAAGAGCAAAATCCTTTCAGTTGCTGCAAGTAAGAATTGGTCTGGCTCTCAGCAAGGGATTCTTCTGCTCAGAAAGAACCATATTCGGGTGTGAATCATCCTTTCTGCTTCTCCACCCCAAACACATCACCATCAGAAACTTCTGTGAGGAACAGGATATTTATGGCTTTACATCACTGCTGCACATTGCCATGGCTGCCATCCTGATGCTGGAACGATGCACCCTTCTAGCAGCGTGCAGGGCAAAGGCATCAAACAGGTACTAGGGAACGCTGTAATAGAGGAGAGCCAGCAATCCAATACCTCGTCTCCCTGCTAAACTGGAAGGAGCACCACACTCCACCCTCCCTGCTGTCAGCTGATAGTAGGAGCATGCACTGAGGTCTTCAGAGGAAGGCAGGAAAAAAAGATAACACAGCTGATCGCACCATCCTGTGCTGGCTAAACCATGAGGAAGGGGAGAAAAGTATTCCTGGTCAGCTTTGAATAGCCCCCTCTGTCCCCTTCTCAGACATGCAATGAGGCAGCAAGGAGCAAAGCTGGGCTGCTGCGGGGCCGTGCGGGGTTACCTGGAAAGTTCCTTCCTCGGAGGGTCGCAGTGACTCCCATTCTGGAGAGTCCAGGAACTGGTACGGAAAGACGTAGTGAAGGAATTGTCCGTCCTGGCTCACTCGGACCCTGCAGAGAGGACAGGTGAGGCACACAGGCTTAGGCCACAAAATAGATGTCACACAAACCTGATCAGCTCACACAATGTGCAGGCAGCCAGTCCCACCGGGGAGGAAAGGATTTCTCATCTCACAGGTGTCTCATACCCTCTCTGGGACAGCTGCAGATACTCCAGTCTATGGGGCTGTCCCTCCTTTCTCTGTGAGAAATGGTATTTGCTGCCACTTCCCGATATTCCATCTGCTTTCTTTTAGCAGGTTTCCTGCTACAAAGCCAGCCCTCACGGGTGCAATGCTTGGTCCTAAACCAGGACTTCTTAGCCTGCAAGGCTGTTGCCACTTTTCAGGTACTTCTAAGTCAGCCTGTGGCTCTTTGTACTTGCATCTTCTTCCTGTCCCTAGGGTTGTACGAGCGCATTCCCTGCCTCGATGCTGGGAAGCTGCTACACCCAGAACCCCCAAAAATCACACTGGCCATCGTTCCTGACACATGATGCTGTGAGCTCATAGTTTGCTGCACATTACGATTCAATCTCTCTTGGCCTCCAAGTATCCCTTTCTCCTACTTTTGCTACAATTGCCTACCAATGTCAAGGTCAAACTTGCACCCAGCTCTGCTGTGGGAGCAGAGCAGCAGAGCTGCACAGGCCTGGAGCAACGGCAGGGCACTCTGAAGCTCTATTCGTAGCTCTGTGCCACCAGATTTGGGGCTTCTTGCCTCCCTATCACCATGTCCCCCCGTCGTACGATGAACAAAGGCAATTCTTGCTTTCAGGAGTTACACTGTTGGCTTCCAGTCAGCTGGGAGTGCTGCCTGGAAGGGTCAGGGATTGCAAGGCAGGTTTCCTGATCCAGGCACACTCTACATTTCCAACCCTGCCTCATCTTGCTATTGTTCCATTTAAGAGGGGGCACCATAATAGTAGCAATGCTCTGCTGGGTCAGCAAGGACCTCACAAGGCTATAGAGTGGGTACCAGTAAATGCAAATCCAATCCCATCTCCATACGTCCCACTGCAAAAGAGAGCAGAACAACTATCCCGCCAGCACTGGCTTACTGTCCGTTGCAGCACTTTCATGCCCACAGAGCAGCATCAGATTATCCAGTGCAGGGCAAGACAGCACAGACTCTTCCCTGCTAACATTGTTTGCAGATACAGTAAACTTCAGAGCAAGCTGCTCAGCACAGATGCTTGGCAAGGGGAAGACACCTAATGGAAACACACGTACCCAATTTCCTCCCAGTGCTTTGCCATTCGGCACTGGTCAGTTGTCCCAGGATGCTCTTAACACATCCTAGAAATGGGACAAACACCAAAAAAGGAAGGACAGCCCTTCTTCTTTACACACCCCATCACCAGAGAGGATGGACCACCGCAGTAAAACATGAGCCCCAGGTGATGCTGGGTTTGCCTTCCCAAAGGAAAATCCTTGTGAGACACACCTCCTACAGCTCAGCACTGCTCCCATTTACAGATCTCCTTCCTTTCCTACTCTTACTTGACATTAGTGCCAAGTGCCTGGCAGCAGCTGGAAGCCAATATCATTACTATTTGTATGCATTTGGATTTTGCAAATCATTAAAGAGATATGCTCACAAAGGCATGCCACAGGATCTCAGGTGAACAAATGCCAGTACTTCATCAGCACAGTTCACTCAACAATCAAATCCCCAGCACGACTAGAGGTCCCTGAGGTCCTCCTTGGTGGTCCAGAGGAAGGAACATCATGAATGCATGACAGCACAGGGAAAGAAAGAGGCATGATGAGGTGGGATCCACCACAGGAGAGCTCTCTCTTTTGATGAAATAACCCTCAAAGGGAGAAATTTTGGAGCCTTGAGGGTTGAGGTGTTGGGAACAGGGGTGGAACCTCTCCCTGAACACTGCTGGCCAGGAGGAGCAGGTGAACCGAGGACTCAGAGTACTCAGTGCACAGACATTCACATCAGAGAGGTGTGTCTGATACCCCCAGAGACCACAGGTCCAGACACACTGCCCTCCTGCCTTGAGAAACACCCTCTCATGGCTGGTCTGCACCCATCAGAAATAAGATCACTTTAAAGTAACAGAGAGAGTTAGGGATCCCCCAACAGTATCACAGGCAAGGCTGAGCTGGCAGCTTCACTGCACATTGCTTGGTTCTGCAAATTGTTCCCTGAAATGTTCTGATTTAGAAAAACAAAACAAAAACAACCCGCAAAAGCAAATTACCCCCCTCCCCAACAGACAGATGCATATCTCAAAGCCCTTTCGGAAGAAGGAAACAATCCTCACCCCGGTTTCTACAGAGGGTGAAAATACAACAATAAGCCACAGCGCTTTGCTGTCAGACTTTGTTCAGAAACTGGAGAGCCTTTACCTGCCAGACAGCAGCAACGAGAGGCGGTCAATGGGCGTCTTGCCCTCCACTGCATAATTCTGGTCTCTGACTAGCGACTGGACTTGCTCTTCGCAGCACTTCATGATTTCTTTGTAGACTTCCAGGGGCACCTGCAAGGGCAGGTACATGGTCTTGTAGAGGAGGTCAAACTCTTCCGGGATGGTGTCTTTGCGGAGCCGGTAAGCCAGGTGAGCCAGCTGAAGCAAGCAGGCGAAGACGAGCAGCATGTTCCAGACGAAGATATCCAGCCCACAGGCGCTCAGCCAGCCCCACAGAGCATAGCAGAAGTAGCCTGGGGCCAGGAGGCCGAAGATATAGAGGGACCCAAAGATGCCACTTCCCCCCATGTAACCCAGGAGGACGATGCAGCTGGCCAGCTGGTAGGCTGCTCCCTCCATAATCTCCTTCCAGGCATCACACACCGGAGGCTGCAGAACAGCCTGGTCCCAAGAGAGGCTGCTTGCGCTCATCCTTCCCTACTCCCGACCCTCCCCGGCCGTCCTGCGCTCAAAACAAATTGTCATACACAAAGAGTGCTGCAGTGGTCTGAAACCAGAGCTGCTGGATAGCTGTTCCTCCTCCTCTTCCTCTTGAGCACCGGCTGGTCCCACAGCAGTGCGCTTCAGAGCGACATGTTGAAGTGCCGCCGAATGTTTTCGTGCCCCAAAAAATCCCCAAAGGGCTCGTTTCTCCTCTTTGTGGCTCACAAACTGGCAGCTGGCCCGCTCCTTAGCCACACCAGTGAGAAGAACTGGCAAATACGAGGCCAAAAGAGCTCAGTCAAAGAAAGAGTAGAGGCCATTAGCTGGAAAACTCGCAGACTGGACAGAGATCTCGTTGCACTGCCTCTCTCGCCTGCCCTCCAGCACTGGAAATAGCGACTGTGAGAGAGCAGCGGAGGGAGCTGGTGTTGAGTGTGGAATGTGTATCACTTGGCAGCGGAAAGGAGAGAGACCCCAAATGGATAACCATGTTTGGAATTGAAATCCAAGGAGCAAAAGCAGTGAGGAGAACAGAGAGCAGGCATGCACCCGCTACTTAACATAACTCAGGCGCCCAGATAAGCCCGGCGCTGCGAGGAGGAGAAAGGAGAGGGGAAAACAACCAGCTTATCGCGGCGAGCTCCAGCCACACGCAGGGCTCCTGCAAGAGAGTGACTTTCACCCAGCACAAAAAAGGAAAAAGATCACCCCCTTCTCCCGCTGTGGCTCGTAGCAGTGGCAGGGACTTCGCAAAAGGAGAGAGGCTGGTTCTCCAGAAATGCTTTCCAGGCACTGCAGCTCAGCCTCCTCTTGCTCCAGGGTGCTCCATCTTGCGGGGCGTTTTAGACCAAGGGGCATGAGGTAAAGCTCTGCGTGGGCAGACAGGTGTGATTGCAAGGGATAAAGCTAGAGTAAATGAGCCATTGGGACCCAGCTTCATCTATCATGAAGAGGAGACTATCCTGCCTAAAACTTTGGGAGTGTAACACTTGAAAGCGTGTTTTACAGGGAAATGCTAGTTGAGAGAGGATTCTCCCACCCCACAGATAACAGGCTCTGTTGGGAAGCATCCTTCAGAAACATCATCTCACATTTTCATTTTTTTATATAGTTATTTGGAACCCCCCAGACTTTCATTTAGCACAAAGAGGAAAGCAAACACTTTCCACTCAGGTAACCCAGGACACAGGTATGAGAGGGACCCACCAAGTTCAGCCTGCTGTGGTCAGCTACAGAAAAGATGCATAAATGCAATTTCTCCCCTGCTCCGAGTAACACATTATCAGTCATACAGGCAGGATCTGCCTGCTGCCAGGAAGCAGTTACATTTCAGGCATTGACGCAACCCGCACGGTCAGTCAACAGTATGAAGTCAGCCTGCATGGGCCAGTGGAGTAGAGATAGAGTTTCAGGGGTGGTTGTGTTTCAGGCCGAGCTTGCAGCTGCCCTGCCTAACATGCCATTCCCATTGACACCGTTCACTTAAAGACACACTAATAGCCTCTTCTACTAATAGTACTCTGGAATAACACTGTCCACTGGGCGAGGCTGAAGCAATGCTTTATGGCAACCTTAAAGAATTTGTCATGGTCTTGGACAGCACAATCTATCTCTACAACGATTAGTCCACATGCAACACAGAGAAATACGACTCCTAAGAGCAGCAAAGGCTGTGCCACCTTGACAGGTTGCCATGTGGGAAGGAAAAAAGACAAATTAAGCTTTGCACAGGGCGTGAGTACGACCCACTCAGAAAGATGATTTCTGTTAAGGGTGATGTGAAACAGGGAACCTTGTCTCCAGTGGTCCTTTATTTAAGTGAAGAAATAAATCCTACTGACTGAAGCAGAACAAGGCCCAGCTGCAAGACATATGGGGAAATGAAGAACTTCATTTCTTTTTACCCTCTCTGCAAAGAGGGAAGGATGATCTTATAGCCAAAGCACTACAATAAAAATCTTGGGAGCCAAGTTCTGGTTTTCATACCATTGCCATGTACTTGCTAGATGATCCCAACAACAACTTGTCTACCTTTAGACCTCTGCAAAAAATCAATACTATAAGGGGTCCTCTTTCTAAGATAGGCTGATGTTTGATATAATGGGGAGTTGGGATATCAAGATTGGGAACAGTTATGAGAAAGGTACTTTACATAAGATCTGTGAGACAAAACTGAACTGCTATGAACAGCAATGTCAAACTACATTAGAGGAAGCATTCTGAGAAGCAACATTGCAGTTTCTCCCACCTTTCCCTGCTACCAAAAACCTTTTCTGGCAACATCAAAGAAAGTGACCAAAAAAAAAAAAAGTTACTAATTTCACTCCTCAGTTAGGTAAATTCCTGAGCTAGAAAATACTCTGGAACACAATGCTAATGACTCCTTAGGACAAAGAAGGTGCTTCCTCTGGCATCTTCCAGAACACAGACAGCGGCGTTGCAGTAACCCCAGAGGCGTGCACTGGGGTCGCAGTGCTGCCAGTGCCAGCGCCGCGGGCGAGGACAGCCCGTTGCGACTTCCCTGTGGAAGGCAGACAGGAAGCTTTAAACCCACAGCAGTCACAGCACAAAGCTCTCATTAGAAACTACACAACTTTTCTGCTAGGGCTGAACGTGACATTGTAGAGAGAATCATATAAGCCTTTTAAAAGGTAGATCTCCAAGCACACGCTAGAGATTAATTTAGGAGTTTTCAGGCCCAGTTTTTTTAAAAGGAAGATTTGTAAAGTTGTTGAACCACCAAGGCTCAAATCTTCCTTTCTCCCTTGAGAGTACTGTGGCCATAGAGACCGTCTTCAAAGCACTTTCAGTTTTCAACCCAGCAAGAGCTGAAAAAGCTCTTGGTTTTCCAAAGAGAAATTTTATTTTCATGCCTTGCCTTGAATTAGAACACATGCCTTCCATCCAGGGATGCTGGGGTTCATCTGAGATGAGTGTTCAAAAGCCAATACTGATTCAAGGGGAAAGCCACACGAGTATTAAAAGGGAGATACCAAGGCCCAAACCAATTTGGAATCAAGAGCACAAGTGCATAGGAAACACCTGAGCAGCATTAAGATTCTTCCCTGGAAGAAGGCACATAGGCATCACAACAAAATGAGTCTGCGAAGAAAAAAAATAGACATGTCAAGCTTTTCAGCACTGAAACCGGCAGTGTGTCAACAGGTACTCCACTGATTTGCCCGCTTGAATTCAACCAGCAGCACTTAATATTTAGCCCCATGCAATGATCCAATCCAGATGCAGCCTGCACTATGTGTGGCAAATAAATCCTCTGTCCTCGAGAGCAGCACCGCACTGAGAGATCATCAGTCCCCAGTCTCACAGCAGCTAAATGACTGGCTATTTTGCCCACCCTCAGGAAGTTTACAGGTTCACTACTGATCCCATAAGCTGAGAACAAGTCCAGTCACCTGTGTTGAGGACACTAAGACCTTGCTGGCTTAAAGTCAGAGAGGGCATAATCAGACATCTCCTTTTTGATTTACTATATAGCGCATCGCTGGCATTAGTCTGCAAAACTGTTACTTACACACTAAAAAACCCTGTAGCTCCAAAATATTCACCTGGTGTTTCAAGTCACATTCGATTTACAACTGTTGGGAAAGGTCCAAAGCCTGCTCCAGACAAGCTCATGGTCAATCACAAAGGGACATGCCCTTGCAGGTACACCAAACACCCTGTGCAGGGCAGCGTCCATCACCAGCTCCATCAGGATGTAGTAACACAGTGCTAGTAACTCCCATTCCCTGAATCAAGTCTTGAATCTGCTCCACAGGAATCCTGTAATAACAAATGACGCCGCTCAGCAAGAAATGCTATTTGACTACAAGGTTTTTCCATTGTTGCTTTAAGGATAGAGTTGTCCGGTATCCTTTCTGTACCTGTTGCACGCAGGTATCGCAGCATCCCCACTCATCACCTTCCTTCCAAAAACTTTCTAAAGTATCTACCATGCTTTTACCCTCATGCAGGCCTAGATGTCCCATTTCTTAAGTTTATACAATTTGTGTAAAATTGTATGGGGACCCATTTTTTTGTTTTCTTGACCTGATTTAAATAGCACTCCATTCTCACTTGACCACCGCCAACCCCTGCCCTGCCCTGCTCTTTACTCTATGGCACCATTTCCACAGTTTACCCAGACTGGACATGCTACCACAAAGCTGGTGCTCGTCCATCTTTTAATGTTCTCTTCAGTTCAAGCTCTGACATGCGTTGATTCAACAATAAATGACCTTGATTCAAGTTTCTACCTCAAGACAATGAAAAACACCAAGAGGAGCACCACGTCTGGCTCCCCAGCAAGCTACAGCGCCACAGGCAGCTTTGAATGCTTTTTGCCAGAATTACACCTGCGTCCCTTCTCTTAGGCTGGAAGCCAATACGGGCACAACTCTTACCTCAGGGCCGGAAAGTAGGCGAGCAGTGTAGAGCTAAGTCTAACAGCCCGACCTGTCCCCTGCAAGCATTTTAGAGTACATTTCTGCAGACTCCAGGATGTTCACAAATCATTCCCGGAAGCAGAGTCTAAACTCTCCTCACACAACTTGTGAGTCTCAGCAGAGATGGTACCAACTGTCACATACGAGATGTTCACAGCCTATTCATTGCCAGCGCAGAATATGCAGGGCCCAGCAGGCAGAGAAACAATCGTGACTGCACCCATCCCTCCAACAGGATCAAACCCAAGAGAAGAATCAAGACAAACCACAGATTTCGTATCTTCAATTTCTGAAAAAGAAAACTCAGCAGGAGGAGAGGAAGTAATCAGTGATGCCATCTTAAGCAAAGTCAACTGACCAAAGCAAGGACATTAGGGTTGCATAGAGACACAGTATGAAACCAAAAAAGTCCCATGTGTAACAAACTACCAACTGCACTTTTTTTGCTCTTAGATTTTAAGAAGGAATCAAAGGCCACAACCACCTTCCTACTGTCATGTCACACAGGGGAGAAAAAACAAGCCAGAAAACAAAAGCCCATGC